AAACTGAAAACAAACAAATAAACAAACAACAAAAAAAAAAAACCCAGAATACACAATATTAACAGAATGAAAATGGGGTGGGGGTGGGGGTGGAAAGACAGAAAACAACAGCAGAAAATTAAGTGTAATTCTGCAGCTAATAGACACAACTTCACCGTTGCCTGAGAAATATCAAGATGGTCCCACTGTGCCTTTCTGACCTATAGTAAGTGCTTTTCTCCGCACCCCCCACCACACCTCCCCACCCCCACCCCCACCCCCGCCTTTTGTCTACATTACAAGTCTGTTCATCTGCTTCTCCTAGTAAGAGCTAGCCCAGGGCTGGCCAGTACCAATTTGGGGCCGAACTGCTGGTATGGGCTCTTTCTGTTGTCTCCTTCCCCTTCAATTTTGTGCCCAGCCACAGGGCCTGAGCGGGATCTTCTTTGGTGTCTTTTCATATAGATCTTACCTCGAGTCACCAGGGTGGTGTAAGGAACCAGAATGGAAATGAATAGAAAGAGGGAAAGAAAAAAAAAAAATCGCAACTTTGTCTCTGGAATTCACGTGGCTTGTGGCTTCTGCAAGAGGAATGCTTTCTTGTCTCTCAGTCTGCTCATACCCTCATGTTCTTCAAGTAATCTGTTTTGGACTCCTTAAATTGGTTAATTGCTATCAGAAACCAGTAGATTCAAATAAGATGAATGGAAGACTGCATTTTTTGGAAAAACAGCTACTATCTGCATCATTCAGTGTTAATTTGGGGCACACTTGTCTTAAACCTCAGTAGTAGGAAAAGTTTCCTTTCTCCTGGTGAAATGATATACTTTATTTTAATGAGCTAAAACAACATTATTTTCCTCATTCTTCTTTAATATTACTTGGTTATCAGAAAGTTAAAAGCTATGTTTTATATTCATTTGTAATAATGTTCTTAGCAATAATTTCTGAATAATGATTTTCCTATCCCTCTGCCTTTATTTTCTTTGTAATTATTATTTCATTCTTATTTTATTATACCTGTGATGTGGATTTGGACCTTTTTGTGTTCCTGCTTTTTATGAAAAGCCTCCCCATATCCTTTTTAGACATACAAAAGTATATTGCCATTGTCATTGTTGTTCAGTGCCTTCAAGTCAGTTCTGACCCATAGTAACCCTGTATAGGGTTTCTGAGGAGCAGCTGGTGAACTTGAACCTCTGACCTTGCAGTTCAACTTTAAAGTTCAGTGCACTAACCCACAGTGCCACAAAAGTCAGATGTTAAAAGTGGGGTTCTTCCTGACTCAACCCAAACACAGATACATTTGTAGTTGGGTATCAGTGTGAAAGACACCACCTCCAATATTCAAATTAACAGAAGGAATGACTCTTCGAGAGATCAAGGATATAAAATGAGGTCAGAGGGAGAAAAATGTGAGATTAATGACATTAATAGAGTTTTGGCCATACTGCAACTCTACACCCACTCCCTTTGCAGGAAGGATGGAAAGGAGTAAAACTTTCTAATTCAAATCTGGTAGGAACCACTCAGACTCCATAGTTATGGGGTCATTTTGGATTCATACAGGACCTCACATGTTTCAGTGTAGAACTGCACTCCAAAAGCTTCCAATGCTTGTAATCTTATAGAATTATATTGCTAGGCCCTTCTTCCATGCACTCTGTGTGAATTTGAACTTCCAACCTTTTAATTAGTATCAGGAGTAAACCACTTATTCCACTCAAGGACTTTTTTTTAAATTGTAAGATACAGAAAACTGGTGTCTGACTCCAATCTAAAATAGTTAAAGTTGTCAGGGGGCTGGAGGGAGTGTGACCCTACCCAGGAAATTGGTCAGCTAATTTCCTCACAAACAGCTAATGTAACAGGTAGAGTAAGACCAACTACTTGTTAGCAGAGACAAGAAAGTTTTCCTAAATTGAGATGGGCTCTCACTTCCTGTGATTGCAAGAGCAAGTCATCTGTGTGAGTTTCTTAAGGATTGATATGGGCCTCATAGAAAGGTGCTGGCAAGTAGAGTGTCCCTCCCCCACCCCACCCTACCCTGGCCAGCCCAAATAGAGTTGTATCTTTGAAGGCCAAGGAGACTAAAAAGGGAAAGGGCCAGGATGCTATTCTGTTTATATATGTGCCAAGCCACCATTTATAGCTTGCACTTGAAGGTAACTCTCAAACTCAAACATTAATCAAGTATTTGTTTCTTCTTTCTTAATATAATCACCACCACCTCTCCCAATGTGATTGGCTCATTAGGATAAAACACAAAGGCAGGAATTTCAGCTCCAATATGTTCAGATAAAGTTCATGTAAGAAGTTAGTCTGTTCTATTAAATGCATAGTTCTGTGTCTCTCATCAATTAACTACCATTTTCAGAGCATAGATTTAACCCACAGTGATATCACACAGTCTTGATCAGCTTTGATCAGGCAAAATGGAAAGTAAAGAACAATTAAGTGTAAGAAGTATTTGATGGTCATGGTGTGGGTGAGGGTGAGGAGGGGTGGAGTTGGAGAGGTGACTGGAAGTCAGATAGTGAAACTGTCTAACTCATCAGACCAGTTATGACCAAAAGCTATCACATCCAGCTCTCATTTTTTTCCTAATTCCTGCCAAGCCAGGTATTATATGGGCAATGATTTCTCTGCTGTGCCTTTGTGTTCTATATAGTACTAACTTTGATAACTTTTTTGTGTGTTCTGTTGATCACCAGCTTCTATTTGATAACTTACAAATGAATCAGCTACAGAACAGTTTTCAACATTTGTTTTATTATAGATTTAAAGTGCAGACAAGTATTTGAAGAAGCAAGGGAACAGATTACACACTGGTACATTGAAAACAAAGATAGAAGTAATAATACATTGTCAATTGGCAGTTGTCTCTCTGACTACAGGTGCAGGCAGTTCATTTTCTTCCTTAGCCTGTCCTGATCCTCCCAGGAATGAGAAAGGGGCAGAGAGAAGCCAAAGGTCTTTAAGAAGGTGAGTTTACAAATAATAGTTGTCTGCTGAACTGTCCCTTCAAACCAAGAATCCTTGATTGATAGTGTTTATGAATTTTCATGGTATAAATAATCCCACCATGACCCATTTCAAGCATGGCAGTGCTTTACAATTAAATTGCCAAATTCTTGAAAATGTAACAGCTCTCATGCTCTAGTGCTAGTAAATTCTAGCACATCACTACTTATAGTACAATTAGTAGCAATACAATCAATGTTCTATAACTATATAACGGACACAACTTTTATTTCCTGAGAAAACATGCAAATATAAGAGAAACAAGGCATCGAAGACTTGCCCTACAGTTCCTCAGCATATGTTTAAAAATATAAAAATAATAATAAAATACCAAGAAACAGCTTGGTCTCAGGCCCTGAACTTGTCCTGAGCAATTTTTGTCATACATAATACAAATATTTTAAATTAGAGTTATATGTGATATATTAATTGACGTAATGTAGTTTTTACAAATACCTATAAATATTTTTAACTGAATTAACATATAATCATATATACCTTTTAAAAAGAACTCACAAGCAGCTAATGTAACAGTTCAAAACTTTAGCAAGCTTTCATTGAATTGAGTATTATTCACTAATTTCAGAAGTGAACACATTTGACTGAGAGGGGCTTTTCAATGTGAGAAAGCAGATTTAGTTGAGTAAGCCCTGAGCAGCATCCTAAAACTCCATTATCCAAAAGAAACATAAATTTGCTGGAAAAGTAAAGATCTGAATGTTGGAGAGGAATATGCCTCCTAAAAATTGAATGTATAACTGAATAGCAGAAATGTGAACTCTAAAGCCAAGATTCTATAATACAGTGGCATGTACTTTGGCTCTGTTTTTCACTAGGTCTGAATCGAAGTAAATTACCTGTGCTCCAGCTGCTTCCAGAATCTTATTTTAAAACCGTGTGCCAAATACCTGCCCTGTTGACTTCACAGAGGTCTCATGGGATAGCATGAACCAAAATAAGAAATCATTACATGACATAAAGTAATGCGGAGGCAGTCAAAAATATGAAATCATTACATGATAGAATATAATATTGATACTACTAATTTCTGGGGTTACACCTAATGATTACTTCTGATCACACTTTCTTTTTTATTGGCAATGTTTAGATATGCACAAAGTTCTCATAAAGCTTAGAAAAGGTTCAGAATGATCCTTTCATCCTAATTGGTTTTATAAAGCACCCCAAATCCTGAGTGTAATAGAACCAAGGAAAATTTCCAGGTAAAGTGCATTCCATTCTATGCCACCTGTACCTCTGTCCCAATAGAGTGTCCATGGAGTGTGTTTACCCTCTAACATCATCACAGCTAAAGAATTATGTTGATGGCATATCTGTGAGTACACTATCAGTCTGACTCCTGCTAATGAGGAGAGTCTCAGAAGATGAGAGTATGGGAAGAATGAACAGCCCAAGAACATGAGAATAAGACAAGGTTACTAACTGGGACTATTTTTTATATACTACCCAAGGCTCCCATGGGAATGTGATATTATGTTAAATGCTGTGGAGTCAGTTTCAACACAAAATAATCCTATACAGGATTTCTGAGGTTGTCAATCTTTACAGAAGCAGAAAGTCTCATCTTTCTCCCACAGAGCACCTGGAGGGTTCAAACTGCCAACCTTGGTGGTTCGCACTTCAGTGTTTGTCCTATTTCCCCCACAGGAATAGGACTTCATTTTCCCAGCCAGGTCTTCAAGGATTAGACAGAGACCCTTTAAGTAGCTTCATTAAGTCACTCATATTCTGATACTCATTTTATCTTGGATTAGTGAAGTGTCTTTGTGGATCCAACATCAAGGGTAGCCAAATGTCTTTGTACCTTCCTCTGAGTCTCTTTCAAATAACCATGAGTGATGAAGATTCTCCACAGAGAAGAGGTCTTTTTGATTTATACACCTAGACAAACCAGAGGTATTGAAACTCTATTCCTTCCACTCCACCCCTCCACATCTCTCATGTGCTGAGGAGGGTGAGGAGACCAAACTAAATTACTAGAGAATGAAACCAGGTTGTGCTAGCAATAAGATCCCCCAGTATGTTTCATTCTCTAGAACCTGATATTTATGGTTGACTCTCAAGGTTATTATATCTGCAGCATGTAATTCATAAATTCCCCCCACATTTTGAATTTTAGACTTGTCTGTGAGAGTTTGTATGGTGATACTGTTTTTACGTAGCTGTACTTCAAAAGGAGCTGTTTCATTGTAGGTTGAATTGGGTACCATGTGGCTATAAATCACAAACACGCCACTCTGAAATAATTTCACTTTCCATTCAGATTTCTCAGACACATCCAATTCCATACAACGAGGTTCAAAAGATGTTGTTTGCCAATTTGGGTGTAATGGTCCTGTAAGAAATTTATAAGAAAGGGGGAAAAAAGTATAGTTATTACATTATTTCATTCTCTTCTTGATTATAATAAATTCTTTCCCACTTATCAATGTTGCTTTTGTCAGAGCTCTTCAACCACAATTTTGATACTTTTAAGTGTCTATTCCTTGTTTCAATAAGGAGTTCTGGTAGCATAGTGGTTATGAATCGGGCTGCAAACCTTAAGATCAGCAGTTCGAAACTACCAGCTGCTCCACAGAAGAAAGATAAGACTTTCTGCTCCTGTAAAGATTTACAGCCTCTGAAACCCTATCCAGGGTCACTATGAGTCGGAACCAACTCAAGGCACTTAACAACAACAACAACATTCCTTGTTTCAAGTAGGTTGCATATCCTAAGAATATCTCTTGCTTGGAGAGCTGAGAAAATAGATTTGAAATAGAAAACTGAGTTTTTAGGCAGCACTGCATCTCTTGTCAATTAAAAATTGTAGAAGGAAAGGGTGAAAATGAGGAAGGAAGGAGGGAAAAGAGGACTCACACATACTCTCCATACTCTTTAGCCTGCAGTAGGTAGGGTTGGCAGTCCAGGACACATGTCCTTTTGTTTTGTTTTGTTTTTGTTTTTTTATGTAAATGCTTCTTAATATGTATTGCCTTGAAGTCCTGGTTTGGTGCTGTAGGATAATGCTCTGGACTGCAAGGTCAGTTTGAGCCACAAGGTCAGTGGATCAAACCCACCAACCTGACGCTCTATACAGGGTCTCTTTGACTCAGAACAAACTCAATGGCATTTAGCAACAGCAACAAATGTGTCACCTTATCTGTGAGACCTTTGCTAAGTAATCTGCCACTCTGTTTTTTACCTTGCTTTAGCTTTCTTCAGGAAGATGTCACCCTCTAGCATATTATAAATTTAGTTGTCTCTTTGTTATTGCTTAGGACAAGACCTATCAATTTTATTCTGTTTTATTCAATGCTGCACCTTTAGCCTCTATAAGAGTGCCTGATATCTAGTGTATGCTCAATAAATATTCCTTGTTTGAGTGATAAGTCCTTATGTCTGAATTAGTTGTATTGTGTTTAAACTGTGACTCATCTTATCAATTCATGTTGTTGTTGTTGTTAAGTGCTGTCGAGTTGTTCCGATACATAGGGTTTCCAAGGAGTGGTTGGTGAGTTTGAGCTACCAACGTTGCCATTCAAACCAACTTTGCAGTTTAGTGCCACACCATCAGTTTGTAAGTATATATTATTTCAGACCTGATAGTGGTATCATTAACCAAGTTCCCCTAGATTGGGGTGGGGAACGTCCAACCTGTGGGCCTTAGAAGCCCATGAAATAATTTAGTTTGACCCTGCCAAGGCAACCACAAGCAGGACTCAAAATTTAGTAAATCTAGGAGCTTTTTTCAGTAACAACTTAAGTTTATATTAAATGATGCTCTTGGCAGAAAAAGGTTCCCCACCCTGCCCTAGAACAACAACTGCTATAAATTCATTTGTTTATAAATGAAGCTACTTGACTATTTCAATATAAGTATCACTAGTGTAAAAAACCCTAGTGATGCAGTTAGTTAAGTGCTTGTCTACTAACAGAAAAGCTAGCAATTCAAACCTACCATCCCCCCAGCAGGACAAAGAAGGGGCAGTCTATTATCAGCTATGAGGTGCTTCCGCTTTATCCTATAGGGTAGCTGTGAGTAGAAGTCAATTTGATGGCAACAGATTTGGTTTTGGTTTATCCCTAATTTAATGTTGTCCACAGTTAAGGCCTGTTCATTTATTCTCATGGGTATACATGACATTTAAATATTTATTTGCTAACTGCTTGCTTTTGCACAGATGTGTGATTTCAGGTTTCTACCCAAAATATAAGTTTGACTGTCTATGATTCCCCATAATTTTTGTTACAGGGAGCAAGATGTTTGTCCCATAATTAAAAAGAAGTGTTGGTAAGAATATAGCCTAGAAGAAGTTACATTTTGACTTAACTTCTCATTCCTTTGTAAATGGCTGATAAGATTCTAAGGGGAGACACTGAAGGAGAGTGAGGAAAAGATATATCTAGAATAAGAGGCAATGCTTCCACGTGTCTCCAATCAGTCCAAGAAATGTCTCCCTATGTTAGTTGTCAAAAGACAAGTGACTAGGAAGAAATGACATAGTTCTCTTTATTAATACTGTGGTTGTTAGGTGCCCAGGAGACAGTTGCGACTTGTAGTTTACTCTGTGTACAACAGAACAAAACACTACCCGGTCCTGCACCCTTCTCACAATAGTAGTAATGCTTTAGCTCAATGTTGTTGACATTGTGTTAATCCATCTCTTTTTAGGTCTTCCACTTTTTTGCTGAGCTTCCATTTTACCAAACATGATATCCTTTTCTAGGGACTGGTCCCTCCTGATAGTATGCCTGAAGTATGAAACAAGTCTCATCATCCTGGTTTCTAAGGATGCACTTCTTCCAACACAGATTTATTTGTTTTCTGGCAGCCTGTACTACTGTACTTTTAATATTCATAATTCAAATGCATCAATTCTTCTCTGGTCTTCCTTATTCTTTATCCAACTTTCATTTGTATATGAAACTGTTGATAGTCCAGTGCACCTCAGTCCTCAAACTGACATCTTTGCTCTTGAACACTTTAATGAGGTCTTATGTAGCAGATTTGCCTAATGCAATACATCAATTTCTTAACTGTTTCTTTCATAAGTGATAATAGTGGATCCAAGATAACGTGATCTTTGACAACTCCATTTTTATCCATTTATCATGATGTTATTTACTGGTCCAGTTGCGAGGATTTTTGTTTTCTTTACATTGAGGTCTAACCCATACTAAACACTGTGATCTTTGATCTTTATCAGTAAGTGTTTTAAGTTAAGTCCTCTTCATTTTCTGTCTTCTTTACATCACAGGTTGTTAATGAGTCTTACTCCAATCCTGATACCACATTCTTCTTATTATCCAGTTTCTCGGATTATTTGCTCAACATACAGATTGAATAAGTTTGGTGAGAGAATGTAACCCTAATGCACACCTTTCCTGACTTTAAACCATTTAGTATCCCCTTGTTCTGTTGGAATGATGGCCTCTTGGTCTATGTACAGGTTCCTCATAAGCACAATTAAGTGTTCTAGAATACCCATTCTTTGCAGTGTTAGCCATAGCTTTGCATGATCCGGATCAAAAATCTTTGCATACTCAAAAAGAGCAAGTAAACATCTTTCTGGTATTTTTTGCTTTCAGCCAAGATCCATCTGTCATTAGCAATGATATCCTTCATTCCATGTTGTCATATGAATCTTGCTTGAGTTTCTGGAAGTTCTCTTTCAATGTACTATAGTAGCCATTTTTAAATTATCTTTAGCAAAATTTTACTTGAATGTTATATTAATTATATTGTTAGATGATTTCTGCATTCCACTGGGTCACCTATCTTTGGGCATAAATATGGATCTCTTCCAATCAATTGGCCAGGTAGCTGTCTTCCAAATTTCTTGGTATAAATAAGTGAGTGCCTCCAATGCTGCATCAGTTTGTTGAAGGATTTCAATTGGTATCCCTTCAGTTACCAGAGCATTGCTCCTTGTCAATGTGTTCAGTGCACCTTCGATGACTTCTTTCAGTACCATTACCTCTTGATTAAATGCTACCTCTTGAAATGGTTGAACATTGACAATTAATTTTTTCTACAGTGATTCTGTGTATTCCTTCCATCTTCTTTTGATGCTTTTGACATCATTCAATAGTTTACCCATAGAATTCTTCAATATTTCAAGTTGAGGCTTAAGAAATGCTGAGTGTATTCTTTCCTTTTGGTTTTCTAAATCCAGGTTTTTGCACAGTTCATTATAATACTTGGCTTTGTCTTCTCAAGCTGTTCTTTGAAAATTTCCATTCAACTCTTTTACCTCCTGATTTCTCCCATTTACTTTAACATCGCTATATTGGAAAGCAAGTATCAGAGTTTCTTCTGACATTCATATAGGTTTTCTCTTTCTTTTTTGTCCTCTTAATGACCTTTTGCTTTCTTCCTGTATGATGTTCTTGATGTCATCCCACAACTCTTCTGGTCTTTGGTTATTTGTGTCTAATGCATCCAATCTGTTCTTGAGATGGTCTCTAAATTCAGGTGGGATATGTTCAAGATCATATTTTGCGTCTTTGTTTCCATCCTTCGCATTCCAATCACCAGTAATTATCAATACATCTCTATTGCATGTTTGATCAATTTCACATTGAAGATGTTGGTAGAATTCTTCAATATCATCATCGCTTGCTTTAGTGGTTGGTGCCTAAATTTGAATAGTAGTGGTATTAACTAGTCTTCCTTGTAAGCATATGAATATTATCCTATCACAGATAGCATTATACTTCAATATAGATCTCGAAATGTTATTTTTGATTATGAGTATGATGCCATTCCTTTTCAATTTTCTGTTCCCTGCATAGTAAACCATATGATTATCATATTTAAAATGGTCAATACTAATCCATTTCAGCTCATTGATGCCTAAGATATCTATATTTATGCATTCCATTATATTTTTGACTATTTCCAATTTCCATGTTCTGATCATTAATGGATATTTGCAACTATTTTTCCTTGTTTTGAATTGATGAGACCTCATCAGCAAATGAAGGCCCTGAAAGCTTTACTCCATTCACACCATCATGGTCAACTCTACTTTGAAGAGTTGAGGCAGCTCTACCCTAGTTATATTTTGAGTGCCTTATTATTGGAGAGGTTCATCTTCTATCCCTATATCTGACAATATTCTGGGGCTTTTTATAATGTTTTCATCTCCTGGTATTATATCTGACAGTGTTCTGCTGCTATTTGTAAGGTTTTCAGTGCCTTAACACTGAGAAGTAATCTGACTCTCCTTCTTCCTAACCAGTCTTAGTTTGAAAGCTTAAGTGAAATCTATACACCATGGGTGACCCTGCTGATATTTAAAATACCAGTAGCATTGCTTCCAATATCCCAGCAACACACAAACCACTATA